CCTATCAAGTTTTGCTCTGAATGATGTTTCAAATTAAAGGTGTCAATAAGTTGATTTATAAGGTCTCTTCGCACAGAAATCACAAACCAGTCAGAGCGGATTTTATTGGTTGGAAACAGTCAGGAAACTAGTTTCAACCAATGAAATTAATTCCTTTCCTTCACCTATACCTGTCTGTACAGGCAAAGAATATTATAGTTAACTATAGAAAACCTACGCTTATGGGCGACGGCAGACCGCTAGAGGTGCTGCTCCGGTGTTATAAATTGAAATAATTTATATTCGCGCTAGCTTTTCGGCAAACAAATTTCAGCAGCGTTGCGCGCTCCTCCTCTGAGGCATTTAATATTTTCTGTGATTTTACCTTGTAAGATGATAGACTAACTGGCGCGGCAGTTTTAGAATTTTTTACATCGACATATTAGATGATGTGTAAAAAAAACAAAAGTTACAATAAATCATATAATAGACATTCATAAAATAATACAGTTACTACTGAATACCTAGTTGCTACGTCTAATTTGTTGTATAAATAGAAAATATATAAACTAAAACAAAATTATGCTCTGCGTGAGATAGGGAATGTTGAGTGGAGTCATTTTTTTTTTGTCTGGCATTTTCAGGATGTGCATAAACGCAACTAGGCTCCAAATTCGAAGGGTGCTAACGAAATGAGACGCGTAAAAAAATTTAGTTTTACGAGGGTTTGTACTTACGTCATCATTTGCCTTTTTGAAAAATAGGTTTTTTTATGTCTAAAATTTCAACCAAATATATGTATAGTTGGTTGCACGGCACGAGGGTTTTTACTTACGTCATCAATGACTTCATAACAACTTAAAGAGAAGATTAAGTCACAGATTATTTCAAAGAGCACCTTCGGAGTTATTGTTTTGTAATACACTTTTTCTACGAGAGTGCGGAAAAGTGTACTTTTCCGCACGCATTTTAGGTCATTTAAGTATCACCTTTCCGCACTAGTGCTTTTTCATTTTTTTCCGCACTGAGTGCGGAAAAATGATTACTTTTAGTAGAATGCCTGAAATTTTTAGGTATACAGGTACAGGGTGGCCCAAATTCGAGCCTCATCATTGGGATTTCGGAAACCGTAAGAGATACAGGGTCGGTTAAGTTATGGCAAAGTTGCGCATTTTCATGCTCAACAAAATGCCGCTTTGATATTTAGGATATTCCGAATACTTCCGGAGATATCCAGAAAAAACCGAAATTTTGCAAAATGATTTTTATTTTTTCCTGACTTTATTTGAAGTGATACTTCAAAAAAAAATATATTACTTCATCTTAGCCACTTTTTCTCAAAATTGAAACAATTTGAGATTTTGAAAAATTAATTAAACCACTTCAATTTTTCTGCCGGTGTAAAGGTACATTATTTATCTAAAATCCATAGTAACAAAACATGTTTCAGACGGGAGAAAATTGTTTCAACATCTCAGCATTTTGATGCAACTTCAAAGATTGTTAAATATTATTATACCAACCGAGATTTTCTGCTATTTACTTATTGATTATTACATCGTAAATGTAACATAACTTTAATTTGGCAGACGGGAGGTCGTTGATCCACATGTCCGATTTTGGCGACATTTTAAAATTAGTCATATAACACTTTATACTAACCTAGGGTTTTCGCCGTTTAGCTTCCTTCTACTGATTTTTGTTTAAATTACCTTCACAATGTGTGGCAGACAGGATAATATTGATCCAAATCTCCACTTCTCATTACATTTTCAAATTAGCATATCATTGTATTGTCACACGCGGCGCTCTTTGAAATTTGAGCCATTCCACTTCTTATTGCATAAAGAATAACCACCCTTAATGGCAGACGGGAGAAAATCGTTTTGAAAATATGGTCGTTATGCACCGGTCTATAAGGATGCATCAGTGGCGTAAAAAGACCTGTATTCCCCTCTGAACCAGTCATTCACTTGACCAAAATAATGAAGAAATGCTGATTTAACCTTAGATCTATTCTAGACATTATATTCTATTAGGCTCTCCAAACCACGTGATTTTTCAATATGGCGACCGTGGCAAATTTGACGTTTGTTTGTTTATCTTGAGTTTATTTGGAATATTTTCAAGCTAATTACAACAGTTTACTTGTTATAATATACTTTTTTAAATGCAGAGAGTGAATATTTAAAGACTTGAATGCAGGAAAATCGGGATTTGCGCGAACGGTTAGTTTAAAAAAATGTCCAGATGACATTTTGATTTACAGTTCACATTAATGAGCAAATGAAGACCTACAAAAGCTTAGATTCCTACGAATATTTCGAAAATGGCTTTATTTCAGATGCAGGAACAGTGGTAGTCAAAAATCTTCACGTTTTAATTGGAAAATTTTGAAACAAAGGGCAATGAAAAAAGCCTGACATCATCCTTGTTACCTTGTTGAAACTACTTCCAAAATCAACTTCAAGACCCGTTTGTGGCATTTTTAATTGGAAGAAACACTAATGAAGTCAATAAAATAAAAAAATAAACAGAGTTCATTCACAAAACAACCACAAAATTCACTTTAAAAAGCTTTAAATTACATATAGTCCAGGAGGTGGCGCCAAAAACATGCAAGAGTTTTCGCAAGGCCGATATTTTCAAAATAGGTCGTACTTTAGTGCTAGAATGCTAGTGTACAGTCAGCACTCACAGTTCCGGGACAGCTGGATCTGGGACGCGGGCAAAGTTGTAATTTTAAGAAGCATCTAAACTGTTTTCTCAAAGCTCAAAATTTATAGAAATTTTGCACATTATCTGTTTGAAGGTCACAGATAACGTATGTAAATCGTCAGACGTCTAGTTCGTTGCAAAAAGGGGGTCAGACGTCCTCAAAGTTCTTATTTTATGGCATTTTCTTCGGTGTCCTGTCAAAATATATTTTTGCAGGTATTTGACAAATATATTTGAAGAAAATGCCATAAAATAAGAACTTTGAGGACGTCTGATCCCCTTTTTGCAACGAACTAGATGTCTGACGATTTACATACGTTATCTGTGACCTTCAAACAGATAATGTGCAAAATTTCTATAAATTTTGAGTTTTGAGAAAACAGTTTAGATGCTTCTTAAAATTACAACTTTGTCCGCGTTCCAGAGCCAGCTGTCCCGGAACTGTGAGCGCTGACTGTACACTAGCATTCTAGCACTAAAGTACGACCTATTTTGAAAATATCCGCCTTGCGAAAACTCTTGCATGTTTTTGACGCCAGCTCCCCAACTAATACTCTCATATACGGGATAATGAACTTCTGCCACAACGCACTTTTTGACAGGTCGTTGGAATGCCTAATTGCATTAAAATTGACCTGTAAGATGTTCACTTGTCAGACCCGTATAAAAAAAAGTTTAATTTATAAAGTGTTTCAATTATTTTCGTTTTTATCCAAAGACCAGGCACCTGATTCTCGAAACGCCCAGCGCTCGTCTGGGAACAAGTGCGCCCTGTCCTTCGTCCTTCTCAGTTCCATGTTCTATGTGAAATCTTCTTATATGAGTGTCAAAGAGTAAAAATTAATAGAACCATGCCCTGCGCCCTTGTGCTTATCAAGCGAGAATTGGGCTGCAAAACCGTAAAATCCCAACTTAGGTCCTAAGCATGCGCACATTAGGTTTATTTGCGTCAAATATGTTACCGGAAACGCAACGCAAAGGTACGGTTTGTTAGGATAGAACGCGACGCACAACTGACACCGTAACCGTCGTCATTGATTCAGGTATGACGTACACCCGTTATCTGACGTTGTCTGACGCTGGCGCTGACGTCAGAAACCTGGTGTACGTCATACTTGAACCAATGACGTCGTTTACGTTGTCAGTTGTGCGTCGCGTACTATCCTAACAAACCGTACCATCGTCACCAAAAGTATCTGGGACACAAATAATGCATAATAATCTCCTGGACTAATTCTACTGTCATTTATTTCAATGCATTTGATTCATAACTTGACAAATATTTGACAATAAAATTCATATAATAGGACAAGAGCTTATGTGATTCTGTCCCAGTTACTTTTGGTGACGATGGTACCTTACGTTGCGTTCCCGGTGACATATTTGACGCAAATAGGGCGAGTTCTCATGAGCGTAAGTTGACATTTCTAGCGTAATCACGTAATAATATGCTGTAATTTGATTGGTAAAATCTCCAGCATTTTACCAATAAAATCCAACCATTTTATCATGTGATTACGCCAAAAATGTCAACCTACGCTCATGAGAACTCGCCCATAAATCTAATGTGCGCAAGCTCAGAACTTATGTTAGGTCTTTACGGTTACGCGTCGTAAAATGGGCTTCAGCTCCGTAAAGCCAAAGGGCCAATTTTCCTGTTGCCTCTTGCAAAATTACTCGGACTATTATTATTTATGTAGGTAATTATTAAAAAACATGACAAAACTCTTGCGCTTTTTTTTTAAATCTGACTCTGACTAGGGGCCAGGGGGCGCCAAAACATGAAATCGCACGCAAGCGGCTTCAGGTCTGGCGGGAGCCCTGCTAGTCCGATGCTGTGCGCGGAGCCTCATTTAATTTCATGTGTATCAAAAACTGCCGACTGCTCTTCGCCGAGTCGATTCACTGCGCATCCTGCTTAAGACGGTCCTGTCTAGCCAATAAAATTCGACTTACCTGTCAAAGTAGACTACTTTCATTATCTCGTTTTGTGAAATGAACTTTCGTTGCGTTCGGTATTTTGCTCAAAGAGCAGAGCGTGCAGAGCAAAGCCGTAATCACGTGACCAGCGAGCGCACAGAGCAGTTAAACACTCTATCAGAGGGCTCGAAATTTTAATAAACGAACGTGAATGAGCCTGCACCTAGTACACTGTTCAAATAAACGAACGGTAAATTTATGCTCGGAGAACTTAGATCAAAATACCGAACGCGCGGTTTATGTTCTTTTCTGTTGTTTCCGATTCCACCATTCATCTAAATGTCTACCGTCAAGTTTTCAGTTAAAATTGTCAGAAACTAAAAATGATAAAACGATATTTGCTACTAATATTATTTGTTTTTAGTCCTTATAAGTTGTCGGCTCCCCGTCTTAATGAGACTGAAAGTCCGGAAGAGCGTATAGTCCATGGATACGATTGTTCCACAAACGATTATCAATATTTCGTTAAAGTGGAGTCCAAAAAATCGGATGACTTCAATATGCTAGGCGGCGGAGCGCTGATTGGAATAAACTCTGTACTAACTTCAAGTATTGTTACTGACTTGTTAGCCGAATTTGGCATTGACAATTCTTGGATAATAGCATCAGCTGATGGTGATTCTCGGAAGGTTATGATTATAGGAAATTTTACTCATCCATCAGGCGGAGTTGCCGTTCTGAAATTAAAAGAATCATTACGAAACATCAAATTTGCAACTCTTCCCAATCGGAACGATGAAAATTTTTTTAATAAATGCGCGTCAGTTTTAATCATGGGATATGGACGCACAAAATTTGGTATCGGTCATGGCGATTTGCCAAAAACTCTACAATGTGGTGCTGCCACAACAATACCTGGTAAAAAGTGCATGGAACTAACGCAGGAGTCGCTGGAGAAGTCGGCGGATAGTGAAATACCTGATGATGATGATGTTTTTTGCTTTTCTATCGATAAGTTCGGGCATCAATCTGCCCCATCTTTTCCCGACTTTGGAACCCCGATAATATGCAGTGATGTCCAAGTTGGTATTATTGGTTACTTCGATCCCAATGTTCCGGGAATGGTTTTTAATGTTAAAGTACAGCCCTTTTTGGACTTTATCGAGGAGCATATGAAGAACTGTTGCACTGCCGTTTATTCTGGCTTCATAGTAATCACCATAATTATCTTTGGATTATATTATACCTACTCTACTGTACAGTTTTAATTAATAAACTTATCTGATTTTCTAGTATTACTCAAGGTTCCTGAAAGTATTAGGTACTTAGGTTTAGAGATGCTCAAGCACAAATTAGAATGTTGTTGATGAAAATAATGGCAACAGCTAAATTCGTACACCTACTTTGCTTTAAAATCCTTACTGGAGAATGCGTTGATTTTGTTTTGCAAAACCATTCCGGGTTCTGGCAGAGGGCAACTACGTTGGTTAAGAGCTGAAAAACCGTTTTTTTTGAAAACCTTGATCTCGAAAACTAAGCATTTGCGGATCCATGTTTCTAAAAACTTTTTTTGTCTATTTTGTTGAGTACTACTTGAAAGAAATTGCTGAATAGGTAACAATCAAAAGTTTTGGACATTAGATTGAACATTTATTCACAGTGGCTTAGCAAGGTTGGACGGGGCCCCAGTGCAAATAAATTGCAGAGACCCCCGAGTAAATAATTCTTTGTAATGTTTAATTTGCTGAAGGAGCGTTCAACAGTGGTAACTGTCAGCTGTCATAGGCATAACAAGAATGCCGTATATACTTGAGATAAGTCACATTCTAATATTCCAAATTTTTCAAGTATTTATTTAAAATATTGCCTGACGCTCACAGAGTCGTTCAGATGGTCATTGGCTAAAGTGATAAAGGTGAACATATTGAGGTATTAGAGAATGACCGACTAACAGTATTTGATACAAATTTTTTTGAATTTATGAACGATTGTCGATTCAGAAGAAGTAAGAATATTATTTTGTTGTGAAAAGTCATAAGAATATTATTTTGTTGTGAAAAGTCAATATAGTCTTTAACATATTCCATATACCAACCTGTGTAATAGTTGACCAACTAGGTACTTCGTCAATAACACGATAATAAATAGTCACTTTAAATTTGGTTCTAGAACTATCAAATCTGTGGTCGTTAACGAATTCATTCATCGAGATGCTTTTTATGTCGGACTTGCTTTTTTCTGGAAACACTGGATTAATATTCCACTTTCTTGCTAATTCCACTGCTTCACCTTTAACTTCTTCGTATGAATGTCTTAGCTGTAATACATTATTTCCGAACATCTTTTAAAACTTTTGTCCCTGTGAGTTTTCGCTAGTAGGTATATTTTTCGTACAAATTTTTTGACGTGACTTCGGGGCCCCTTTACCTCCGGGGCGCCGCTCCGAATTGCCCTACGATAGCTACGCCACTGTTTATTCATTATGTTGAACAGATTAATAATGACTTATTAACCCTTTTCACGTGGCTCCGGTTTAACAAACCGCAACATACCGCTCAAATTCGAGTGGTAGGTATCCATCACGTCACTTTGTAACCGGGTTAGAAAACGGTATGTCATTTCTCTAATCGTGAAAAGGGTTATTGCGTTGTTTTTATTAACAAAATGGAGTAAAATGTAAATACGGTGAACACAGTGTTTTTTTTTTTGATCGATTATGTCCAATAATTCCACACCGCAAAACGTCATCGAGGGGGCGCGCGAAGCCAGCTGTCGTCTGTCTTCCATCGTAAGGCGCCTTCACACGCGGACTGCAAAACGACGCAAATATGGTGTATCCGTGCGAGGGCCCATTTTAAGAGCTAGAGCGGCGCTAATATGCCCCCCGCCTTGAAATTACTGGGCATTTCAATCGGTAAAACGCAAAGTTTATTGAAGCTGCGTCTAACTACTCCATTCCTGGTTTGCACTGAAGCGACGCGCGCTATCTTGTCTGATCCATTATGCAGAGAAATTATTCGTCAGTCAGTAGGACTAACACAATTGTCCTTAACCCTCGGGCAGGCGCGCTATCGGCCTTTTATGCCGCCTTTTCACTAATTCAAGGATTCCACAAATATTGTGGATTTTATCATATTGTCCGTCTAGCTATGTTCAAATGACTACACTTAATTTTTTCCCAAGATAGATTTTGACATTGAAAACTTTGAAACATAAACAATAACGCTTGACCCTGACTGGTCGCAAAATGAGGTGTTTTTGCAGGTTGACATCAGGTTTGCAATAGTGACCAATAGGCGGCATTAGCGGCATTGTTTATGTTTCAAAGTTGACAATGCCAAATTCTATCTTGGAAAAAAATAAACCATATATCAGTAAGCCTACTACACACAATTTATGACCTTCGAGCGCTTGTGCAGATGTCAGTGAGTTCTTGAACTTGCAGGTGTTGAATTTTCGGCATTCCGTACCGCCAGCGCGCCTGGTCATGTAAGTAAAATTACAAGGGAATAGTACAAATATTATGAATATTATTTTTTGGTTTTTGCGAAATTAGTATAAAAGATTTCATTTAGTTGCCTGGAATTACAATTTATTTTAATTTTTTACTATATTTGAAAATAAATTTTGATGTTTTTAATTATTTCGTATGTTTTTCCGCTGGCGGCGCGCAGTGCCGCAGCGCGCCTGCTAATGGGATTTTCAAATGCGCGCCTGCCCTAGGGTTAACAATATGACGTTTTTGAGAAATTCCTAATACTTTCGGAAATATACAGTCGCATTATCATCAACCAGCCCTCTGCGTCCACTGTTGAACATTGGCCTCCCTAATCATTTTCCATTCCAATAGATTTTCTGCTGTTTGTATCCAGTCGCTACGGGTCCTCTTAATAACGTCCGACCAACGCGTAGGCGGTCTTCCTTTACTTCGCTTGTCCGTTCTAGGTCTCCACTCAAGAAGCCTCTTCTCCCATAGATCATCCCGCATCCGTGCAACGTGGCCAGCCCTTCTTTTTAGATTGACGGGAATGTCACTCTTGAAAACGTCTTTAAGTCTTCCAAAAGCTGCCCATGAGAGAGTAAGTCTTCCCTTTAGTTCGCATGTCTGGTTATCCCTTGAGATGTTGACCTCATGGCTAAGGTACACATATCTATCTACCATTTGAATTTCAGCTCCGTCAATCTTCAAGCCACAGCTGGGAACAAAATTTGTCATGAATTTTGTTTCTGACATATTGATATTAAGACCGACTTTTTCACACACCTCTTGCAGGTCCTGCAACATCAGTCGCATTTCTTCTAGATCATCCGAGAATAGCACTATTTCATCTGCGAAACGTAAGTTGTTTAGGTTCTTGCCATCTATGTTTATACCTCTCCGACTCCAGTACAATTGCTTGGATGCACTCTACATGACTGTAATGAACAGTTTTGGTGACATCATGTCGCCCTGCCGAACCCCACGTTCAATAGTTATGAGGTTGGTATTTTTATGTAGTTTCACCGTCATTGTTGCATTTTTGTAGATATTGTGGATGAGTTTGGTATATCGGTAGTCGATTCTACATTCCTGAAGTGCATTCCACACTGTATTTAGCTTTATTGTATGTCAAAGGCTTTGTGGAAGTCCACGAATGTCATTACTAAAGTTCTGTTGTATTCCATTGTGTTTTCTATGAGTGTTTTGACGCTTTGAAGGTGGTTATTCGTTCCAAATCCACGACGAAAACCTGCCTGTTCCACAGGTTGGTAGAAATCCAATTTATTTTCTAGTCGGGTAGGTATAATATTTACTCGTATTATACCTACCCGGTACGTACGTACGTACAGTAAATTCCGGAAATTGTGATTCTGGTTTTTATTTTTTTCCAGGATTTATTTTAGGAGATCGAGAAAAATGAAGATAACTTTCTTAACGAACTTTTGGTTGGTCTTTACTGTGGTGATATTATTTTAGAAATTCGACGTTTCGGTTTTCAAACGCCATCATCAACCTAATTTTTTGTAATACGGACCTGGATATTTTCCGCTAGCCTAGTTTCACGTGTCCGCAAGTGATTTGCCGGTAATGTTTTGGTGTTATTTGAGAGCTGCCGCCAATTGTCAAGGATGATACACACCTACAAGGATTGCTTATCAGCCTCGTTTTTGGTAATCGCCGCCATATTGATGTGTTACCATTTCCGACGTCATAACTAAGTTGTCAGCTGTTTAAACAGCCTACGACAAGGCGAGATATAACATGCTGCCTTCGTCACAACTGGTAATTTGACGTGTGAAAAAGGGGGGGTTAAGGCGGAAACCCATTAGCAACACGCCACGCCATGCTATGCCACGCCACGCCATGTGACGAAAATGTATGCGTATATTCTTCCATTTATTTACACGTGCCGCGTACACACTTGCCACGCGCCATACTAAGTCATGGCACTCCACGCCACCCGACGTGTGACAATTTCAAATCCCCAGATGCTGCTCATGCGTGTTGGTACGTGTAGATGTTCTCCGGCCGCCTCTCTAGCCTCGCCGCAAGCTGTTTCTGTATTTATTCAATATTTTGTCGCATCGCAAATAGTACAGAACCATATTTTTCTCGATTCCTGTTTATTTAGTACACCCAGTAGCTTCTATTATTTTTCTTCTGTAAAATCAGAGCCGCAGCAGCACATTGTTCTAGAAACTCTAAGTCACTAGACGAACTGCTTCTATAGGTTGGGGAGAGTGGGGCAACCTCGACATGCGGGGCAAGTTTGTCACCACGCTTTACTAGGAATCAGATGGATTCGGAAATTCCGAAACTGGCTTGAGGGTGCATCGTACCTATCAGTTAGTTGCTCCTTAAGTCTGGAGAAGGTAGCTACTCAATTTGTCGCATGAAACGCAATTATCGAGTTTTTGAATTTCTGATCTAAGGATTGGCTATAACTTTAATAATACTTTCGTTCCGTTAGAGCGTTCTATTTCGCAAGTTAATTTTTTCAGAGTGACTTTGACCTATCTTTTGTAGAAATATTTGATAATAGGCGATAAAAAAGACTTCTGTAAGATGTTTTTAAATATTTTACTAGAATCCGCTTGGGTGGGGCAACTTCGCCAATCGTTATTTCGGCACTGTCGAAATTTTATTTTTATTTCCAGGATGCTTAGAGATTATAAAAAAAACGATCTGATGCATACGAAGAAGAGTAGTTAATTTTTGCTGTGATTTAGGTAAAAAATAAAATTTAGGTATTTGTATCAGAATAATGCTGTCGAATTTGCCCCCTAG